TCATCATTTTCAAGACATTTTCTTTCTACTTGAGTCCTGATATTGCTACTCTTATTATTGGTCCTGAGGGATTTATCTGTCCTGGATTCCCTGTGTTGCGAACTCTTATCAGAGGCGAGGGGTTTGTGTCCGCTCTGAATTCCCTGACTGGCGTTGTGTGTATGTTAGGAAACACATACTGAAGTATGGAAGAAAAAAGGGCATGGTGATTGCAGTGTTGAGAAAACAGCTCAGGGGCCATATCTCATCTCCTTTGGGGAAACAAGGGAAAAAGGAGACTCCATCTCCATCTCTGCCCAAGGCTCATTACCATAAGGCAGAGGTCAGACATGCCCCCACCAGCCATTCTTCTTTTTCCATGTTCTGACACCTACTGCTCCTCCCCTGGCACACTACTTCTCTTCTCTTCCGGGTTCAATAATCCATTGCAATGGCCAAACAAAGCACATAGACGGTATTCACAATGATAGAGGTTGTTAAAGGAAGTTAACAGGTTATTATAAGTCAAATTCATGAAACAGTTAAGGAAATAGTCTTTGGTCCACATCAGTGCCTCTCCTCAGCCAGCATCCAAGTCTCTCTCTGATCCTCCTCAAACTCCCAGCCACTTGGTCCCTTGACCTCTGCCACATAGAATCAGGAAGCCGGCCCACTGCTCTGGTTCACAGCCTCCTCGTTTTGGTGTTGCCCCTCTGCTCTGTCTCGTGGTCTTCTTGCTTTGGCCTCTGTTGCCTCTGCCACTTCAGGCAGGGATATTGAACATTCTTTGCTGGTGGCTTTTCTTCCTTGATGGTCCCAGGATTCTCTTTGTTCCTGCTTTTGAGATCGCTCTCTTACATCCCCTCTAATAGTGCTTTACATACCCTATTTGCATAGTGCCACCTAATCATTTGGTGGTACTTACAGAGATGTGGAAAGGAGAGCCACATTAAGACATTTCACTTGACCACAGTTGACCAGCTCTTTTTGGTACAAGGACTCCCTGTATTCCTTCTATCTTCTTTTGATGCTTCCTACATCATTCAAGATTTTACCGAAGGAATATTTCAATATTACAACTTGAGGCGTCAATATTTTCTTTTGTTCTTTCAATCTTAGATATGCTGAGCCTTAGACATGCTTTTCCTTTTAGCCTTTCCAACTGTAAAATCTTGCACCTTTCATTAAAATATTTTGCCTTTTTAATCTGTCCTTTGAAATTTTCTGTTCAGTTCTTCTACTTCATTATTTCTTTTACTGTAGCTGTTCAATATTGAAAAGCGAGTTTCAGAGCCTCTTCTGAAATCCACTTTGACATTTTCCATCTTGTCTTTTTAATGACCTTTTGCTTTCTTCATGTATGATGTTCTTCATGTTATCCTACAGCTAGTCGGGCCTTCTGACATTATTGTTCAATGTGTCAAACCTAATCCTGAGATGTTAACCTGTTAGTTCAAAAGGGCATAACCTAAAAACTATATTTCCTCCATACCTTACTATTAATTCCTTGTTCCTCTTTATTGAAGGTTTATGTAAACAAGCACTGACCTACAGCCCAAGGGTCAAATTTAAAGTCTCCACATGTGATTTTAATTATGATTTTGTTGGAACAGAGCCATGGTGATTCAATTTACATATTGTCTATACTTGCCAGAGACAAGTGGCTGCAATAATGTATGGCCCTAAATACTTTCTATCTGGTCCTTTATAAATACTATTGTAGGATACATACTGTTCTATCAGCTTTTTGTTCACTATGTAGGTCTACTTCTTTCCATACAAAGGGTGAAGCATTTCATTATTCATTTAAACAAATCCCAGGATTTATTTAACCTGCCTCCTAAATTGTTTTCTCTGCTCTTTGCTCTTGTAAAAGATATTTTCTTGCAGCCTGTACATAATTAAATAGATTAGCCTCTTTAAGTTTTTGCACATGACATTGCTGAATAAACTTTATGTGCATATATAAGGTTCTAATAGTTCCCCAAAACTTTTTACCTGGAAAACATTTTATCACAAAGCTGCTATAGCATTGACCCAATACCTACTTCTTTTGTTCTTCTTTTTGTTTAGAGAATGTTACCCCAAAAGAGAGAGCCAAAGAGTATGAATGGATAGAAATGTAATAGTCACATAGCTCAACTTCTGTGCCAAAAAAGTGAATTCAAAATAATACATGCTCATAGAAATGAAAAAGAAATGAGTGAGTACATAAAAGTAAGGACCATAGAAAAATAGAAAAATTAATTTCTGATTCTTCTACAAGGAAAATAATCTTATCAAATTTGTGTTATTAAATATTCCAAAAAACACCCTCACTATCATTGAGCAGACTCTGATTCATAGTGAGTCTATGTCTTTTAGCCTAAATAAGGGTTTCGAGTATGGGTAAATAAGTCTTTAGTTGCAAAATCTCAGAGACAGGCTGTGCTTTTTCCTGATAAAAGTCAAGTCCAGTAAGAAGCTCCACGTCGCGAACCCGAGCAAGATGCGCATTCCATCTTTCTTCAACCCAAACAGCTTCAGACTTACCTTCCTGGAAAAGAACACAGGATTATTGTCTATAGGGCATGATTTTTCACTTAGAGAAAGATGGTTCATGATTTAAAAATTGTCCTTTCCCCTGTGATTTATATGGATTTATATCCTAATTTTATTGGGCTACGTTTAGAGTTTCTTAAATTAAGGAAGGACCTGCTTCTATATTTCTATACAAGTACATACAATCACAAAGTCATAAAGTTTAGGCATTTTTATATATTTGTTAAATGTATGTACATATATACTTAAAGAAATAAAATCTAAAATATAAAGTTTAAGTACCCAAATGTTCCTCTATCCAGAGCTAATCATGATCATGAATTGGTGTGTACCAATATGCTTTTTAAAAATGATTACTGCATGGTGATATGCAATGAACAAACAAAAACAAACCATTGCTGGTGAGTTAGTTCTGACAGATAATGACTCTGCATTACAGAATAGAACTGATCCATTGGGTCTCCTTCACTGGGCGCTTCACAGAAGCACATCAGCAGGACTTCTTCTTCAGACCCACTGGTCAGGTGTAAACTGCATCTTTAGGTTAGAAGTCAAGTGCAAAATGTTTGTACCACCTAAGGATCCTCAATTTATACTACACCCATCCTCAGTTATTTCATGGTTTGGGTCTTCCTTGTGATCCATCTGTGAGGGGACGTCCAATTGTCTACAGATGGGCTTTGGGTCTCTACTCTGCACTCCCCCTCATCCACTTTGGTATTATTTTTTTGTTCTGTGTCTTTGATGCTTGATACCTGATCCTGTCGACACCTCATGATCACACAGGCTGAGAGCTTTGTTGCTTCTCAGCTAGATGGTCGCTTATTTATCTTCAAGCCTTTAAGGCCCCAGATGCTATATCTTTTGATAGCTGGGCACCATCAGCTTTCTTCACCACATTTGATTATGGACCCATTTTGTCTTCAGTGATCAGGCGTGTTGGGAAGGTGAGCATCACAGAATGCCAGGTTATTAGAACAAAGTGTCATTGCATTGAGGGAGTACTTGAGTAGAGGCCCAATGTCTGCCTGCTACCTTAATACTAAACCTATAAATATATGTACATAGATCTATTTTCCTATCGTTATATATAAATATTTTATATATGTACATGTCTGTATTTAGACCTCTTTTAATGCCCTTTGCCTACTAGTTCTTTCCTCTATTTCCTTTTACTTTCCTCTTGTCCAACTATCATGTTCAGCCTTCATTTGGGTTCCAGTAATTCCTCTTAGTTACATTGCCCTTGATCAAGCCCCACCAGACATCATATGCCCTCCTCACCATCAATTTTAGATCACTTGTTGTTCCCTTGTCCCTGGGTTTGTTAACGCCCCCTGCCTTTCCACCATTTCCTTCTCTCCTGTGTACCCCCCAGAACCACTGGTCCCATTGTTTTCTCCCCGGGACTGCTTATCCCATCTATGTTATCTCGATAGACAGACAGAGACAATAATAAGCACAAAAACAAGACAGAAAAAAACAAAACGACAAAAACAGACAAACCAAAAAAATGACCAAAAAACCCCAAAAGCCTACAAATAGTTCTAAGTCAGTTTGTTGACCATTAGGAGTGTTTTCCGGTCAAGTGTGATAGTGTGCCAGACCCTGGATATTGCCAGTGTTCAATAAAATATTACCAAAGCAAAAAATACAAATTAATAAAAGTTCATTAGATGAGCATTTTTGTTTTGTGCTGTTTTGCTTTTAGTAGCTCTCCTTTGACTTTAGTTCATGGGCTTACTTGTTTTTTAATTGTGCAGGCTTACATTAGGCAGTCATTACTGGAGCCCGAGGAACTGAAAGAGGAAATTACTTTTTGTTCTTAACCACTAAGACATTTCTTTGTGTGAGACTCATGAAGGGAGTTAACTCTTTTTGAAACAAATAAATATGCAGTGTGCAAATTTGGAATCATACTGCAGATGAGAATCCAGGTCAAAGTCTTTTTCCCCTTGCCTTTCCTCTTTCACGTTTCCACAGCATTTGATATTTTGGTCTCCCCCTGCCCCAACCCCCAAGAAGTTTTCTCCCTCTTGGCTTCCACAACAACTCTCCTCTGGCTTATTTGGGATCCATTCAACTAAATATCTTCTTCTAAAGTTGCAGTTAAATGGCCCCAAAATACAACCCAGTAACTTTACCTACACAGAGGTGGCAATCAAATTATTTACAATCAGACAAGTCACAGGCACTGATAATTCTCAACAGAAGCCAATTGTAGCCAATCTTTCAATATCCCAGCTTTGAAAGGAGTTCTGGTGGTATAGTCATTACGTGGTTGGCTGAGATCCTCAAGGTCAGCAGTTTGAAACCAGCAGCCTCTCCAAGGGAGAAAGATGCGGCTTTCTACTTTCCCGGGAACAGTTACAGTCTGAGAAACTCAAAGGACAGTTCATACGTACATCATTCAAGTTCAAACCTCAGCTTCAGCATGCAATGGAAAGAAATCCCACAACAAAGGTCTGTCCCTGTCTTCTACCACGTTTTGCTTTCTTCTGAAATTTGAACCCCTTTGGTTAAAATTCATGCCTGATTTATCTGTGCCCATTCCATTTTACACAGCAAAGTGAAAGCAGTCAGGCTGCTGAACGCCTGAAAGGACATAGCTGAATAATCACAATGTGGCCTAGAACCGAAGTCTTACTCTCCAGTCCCTTTAATTCCTAGCAAATGAGACTTTCTATGTGGGCCCCCCATTTCCACAAGTTTGACTTGCCTAAACTTAAGTGTCCTATTAACCTGCCAAGATAATTCTCATTTCTAACTTCCCTCTTTGTCTTTTCCCCTAATACCTACAGTTAAAATGACTGATTCATCCCTGAGCCTCATTTTTTTTTTTTTGTCTCCTGAATCCAATCTTCCCCTTTTTTCATGCCTTTTCAGGAAAATGCTTCCTCATCCCCTCAATCCAAACTATATGCATTTTTCAAGGACCAATCCTACTCCCACCTTTCTGCATGAAACTTTCCCTGACAATACTAAATCCTTGAAGTGGCATTTGGCAGGTGATCCAACTTTGAGATATTATTTTATTTATTAAAATATTCTTGTCTTACATATGCCTTTATCTTACCTATATCCAACATATATATGAACTCCTTCAAGACAAGAATTACATGATGCATTTTAAAGAGTTCTACCACGATCGTGTATACTTAATACTGTGCACTTAAAAGATACTTGATGTATCTGCATTTATTGAATGACTTCAGTAAAGCCCAATTAAGCCAACAGGGCTTCAAAAAGTTCATGAAGAATGGAATGAAAAGGTAATGGAATTTCCCCATGCACCTTTGAAGCCCTCTTATATTTGCTTCTATAACAACATATGCAGGAGCCCTGGAGATGTCGTAGTTATGCATTGGGCTGGGATCTACATGGTCAGCAGTTTAAAACTAGGGAGAAAGACTGGGCTTTCTACTCCCGTGTGCAGTTACACTCTTGGAAACCCATGGGGTGGGGAGGGGGGGTCACTATGAGTCAGCATTGACTCTATGAAAGTGAGTTTGTTTTTTAGTTTAATAACATATATGCAAATGGGAGTAACTATTTACATGTGATTTGCTTTGACCCACAAGACAGCTGAGGTGGTCTAATACATGTTTTAAAATGAATGTTACGTGAACAAACTTAATTGCAGCCATGAACCTGTTAATCAAACCTGTTGCCATCAGGTCAGTTCCTACTTACTGTGATCCCATGTGTCACAGAACAGAAATGCTCTGTAAGAGTTTCTTGAGCACAAGCTTTACAGAAAGGATGCCTGATAGTGCAACGGTCAGAGCACTGACCACTAGCCCCAAAGCGGGTAGTGCCAACCCACCAGCGTCTCCAGGAGGGAACAGACCTGATATCTGCTCTCCTAAAGATTATAGCCCAGGAAACGGGATGGGGCAGTTCAATGCCGCAAAGAGTGGCCATGAGTAGAATGAATTCAATGACACAGAACACCACCAACCACAATGCTTATAGGACCAGACCACCAACGTTTTCTCACAGAGCTCTGGAGTGTGTTTGAATCATCAACCTTTAGGTGAGTAGTCATTCTGAAACCTCATGTTTCAAACGAACGCAGTTGTTATCTGTATATACTCATCCAGTAGACATTTACGCTCTTGCGGCCATAAAATTAATGCTGACTCATGTGGACCCCCCCTGTGGGTTTCCAAGATTGTAACTGTTTATGGGAGTAGACACCCCAGCCTTTCTCCCACAGAATTGCTGGTGGTTTCGAACTGCTGATCTTGTGGATCACAGCCCAATGCATAACCGCTATACCAACAGGATCTTAAGGCTTTGAAACAAGAATAAAAGATCAATCAGATAACAACTCTTTTCTTATTAGTGAGTGTGAACACAGTGTATATAATAAAACATCCAAGTTATGTCTACATAAACACAGGTTCCTGCATAATTCACGTTTAAATTGATATTGATTACATAGAGTGTGGTAGCTACATAATCTGTTGTCTCTTTGAGCCTTACAAGTGAAGGGGTGAGTTTAGCCTGTCAATCAGGTCACAGCTTAATGACCTCATTTGGAGGTGCTAAAGAGATAACTGGCTTGCTGGAGGCAGGAGGCAGGCTTACTCTCTGGGAGACATTGCAGCTGATAACACACATGGAGCTACAATAGTGCCCTGAGCTGGAGGAGCCACATGGAGACCCCTGCCAGCACTGAGATGCTTACACCACCACTGGATCCACAAGACATCCCACCCTCTGGCCTGTGATCTTCCTGCATTTGGCGGGTGTCATTGCATGTGTTTCATGAATCTGAAGAGGACTTTATAGATTGGTATCAGATATATGGGCTAATATCAAAGTTATGGACTTGATCTGGACTGGCTGGGATGTTTTCTTAATGTACAATTATATTTCATATAAAGCTCTTTTTTATATACATATGAGACTACCTGTATTTGTGTTTCTAGTCTACCTGGACTAACATATAGAGATCAATCACCCAAGAAAAACTCAAAACTGAAATCATTTCTGCACACCCCTACCCAAGAACCACCTGCAAGCATGCATTTTAGTCAGGGCTACTTCTCTGAAAGCCCAGATGAGCTCTGAGAACCAGAGTCCCGGGCAAGTGGCGGGGCCTCTCATGAAGCATACTCACGGGGCAGCTCTCCTCGTTGGTAGGTCGGTGAGGGATGATAAAGGGCAGAACGTCCAGCTGGCCAGGGCAGTCGTTGGGAGTGTGGCTCCTGTTTTTACAACTAGTCAGCACCACAAAGTAGTGTGTGGGGATGGGAACACTGGTGTTGGCCAAATACCTGCAAACATCATTGAAAGTTTTGACATTATTATACTTTGACTTCTAAGGAGACAAATGTGTTTATATACTTGTACAGAAGGGCCAAGGTGGAAAACAATAATCTGAATAAGAAATATAGCATCTTTTCACATATGTCTAGACTTTAACTAGCTATAGTAGAGGTGTCAATCGTAGTCATTTTAACATTATGAGGAAATATTGGAATACAGAGAATAGTAGAGGGTGGTATTCTCCATCGTGTATAAATATTTCCCAGTTTTGTTGACTTTATAATTTTTGTTAAAAGTATACCTAGCAACATATATCTCCATTTAATAATTTCTACATATGCAATTTAGCAACATTGATTATTTCTAGTAGTGCAACCTTCTCCTTTGTGAATGGTTCCTTCCTCGCTAGGATGAGCTAATTGCCCCACTCACCCTCCTAGCTAACCTTTCGAGATGTTTTAAATGTGATACCATTTAGGTGGTTCTTCAAAAGGGGAGACACGAGCTTCAAGGCAAACATTCTTTATTAAATAAACGAATTCACTGTGTGTTTTCGAGAAGACTGCAACATAGGTTTTTCACTCCAGGTTTAAATAGGATCTCAGAACAGTAGGCTTGGAGGTCTATGTAACTTGGGTTGGAACCGGCTTAACTTAATGCCAGTGAGGTTTTAGGGGGGTTATTGATTCTAACATGTCAGGAATTTATCAGCATTTAGTATTCTGCTTTGTACTTTCCCTATTTTGATCAGAATTCTTCTATAGAATGTTTGTTCAAAATAGTCAGTAGTGGTAGCTACTGGATCATCCAGTTCTTTGGGTCTCGTAACAAAGGAGGTGTTTGTTCATAGAAGCAATTAGCAATACCTCCCATTTCCTCCTCCCGTTCTTTACCCTCCCTCTCCCTCTACTGCTCCCTGAGAAGACACGCCAAATGCTGCATCCTGGGTGGCCACTCACAAGCTCTTAAGGCCCCAAGCATTAGACAATAACAATTAGGAAGTAAAACATAAGCCCTAAGAATTACGTTAGTTCAGTTCCCTGGGACGTGCCTAAACCTCCAGAGTAGAAACGCAAATCCGAGCATATCTTTGGCTGTGTGTAAGCAGCCTTTATACTTCTCAGCAGTTCCTGCCATCCAGTTAGTTCTGGCTCAAAGCAAGCCTAAGGGACAGAGTAGAACCGCCCTTTCAGGTTTGCAAGGCTGCAAAACTGACCCACAACAAAAAGCCTCATCTTTCCTCCGTGGAGCAGCTGGTTAGTTAAAACTGCTGATCTTGCTGCGAGCAGCCCAGTGAGTAACCAATAAACCACTCCGGCTCCTGCTGGAAAGAGCAGGGACTGAGAGGGAAGAAGCCCAGATTCCAATTCTAGCTGCGCACTTCTATAACCTGCCTGGGTTTGCATTCTCCCTTTGCCACTTACTGGTTGTGGACCTTACACAAACTATACAACCTCAATGGAATCAACTTTAAATGGAGCTGAGAGAAGTGAATATTGGATTGTTTTGAGAATTCAGTGAAATATATGCCAGTGCTTAGCAACATACCATCACATAGGAAAGGTCTAAGTATTTTTTCTCTAGCGTTAGTAAATGGTGAAAGGTAAAAATCAATAAACATTGAAGCAAGGGCAAGGAGAGGGCCTCAATGTAGATGGCATTCAGGAAAAACAAACAAACAAGAAAGTGTGTTTCCTGATCTTTAATCCTTTGATGACATCGTTCTAAAATCCGCTATGATTTTGTTCAAAATTAATTCTCAGTAACTATTATGATCGGGTTTAGTACTAAGTTGTGTGAAGGGGCCTCAAAAAGTTCATGACAAAAGGAAATTAAGTGCAGAGTAGGGCCCCAAGGGCCATTTGTGGGCAACTGGACATCCCCTTACAGAAGGGTGGCAGGGAGGAGACGAGCCAGTCAGGGTGCTGTGTAGTAACAATGAAACATACAACCTTCTCTAGTTCTTAAATGCTCCCCCCCACCCCCACTATCATGATCCCAATTCTACCTTACAAATCCAGCTAGACCAGAGGATGTACACTGGTACAGATAAGAACTGGAAACACAGGGAATCCAGGATAGATGATCCCTTCAGGACCAGTGGTGAGAGTGGCGATACTGGGAGGGTGGAGGGAAAGTGGGTTAGAAAGGGAGAACCAATCACAATGATCTGCATATAACCTTCTCCCTGCAGGATGGACAACAGAAAAGTGGGTGAAGGGAGACGTCGGACAGCGTAAGATATGACAAAATAATAATAACTTATAAATTACCAAGGGTGCATGAAGGAGGGAGGAACGGGAGGGAGGGGGGAAATGAGGAGCTGATGCCAAGGGCTCAGGTAGAAAGCAAATGTTTTGAGAATGATGAGGGCAATAAATGTATAAATGTGCTTGACACAATGGATGTATGGATGGATTGTGAAAGGCATTGTACGGAGCCCCCAATAAAATGATTTCTTAAAAAAAAGAGTGGAATTTTTCCTCACAAATGTTTGAAACCCCTCAGATAGTTTAATAGAACTAGTGTTCTGTTTGAAGCTTACACTCTTCCCTGGGAAATGTTTTATGATGTGTCCAATCCTCTCATTTAATTTACTAGTCTTTACTTAGTTTTTTCCCCCACTTATTGTCAGCCTGGCTTTATCACTATTGAGAGTACTATCTTCTTACTTTTACAAAATCACATTTTGCTTTTCTTTCTTAGTTTAAAAGCTTGCCAGATAAAATTTTTACTAAGTGTTTCTGTGGCATTTTTCTCTCACCCATTAATATTTTTGCCATAAAAGATTATGCTAGATTTCTACAGTAGATTGAAGGTAGTTAATAACATCTGTATATCAATGCATTATGTAACATTTAAAATGCTGAACTTTTATTTTAAATATTGTTAAAAACACTTCCCCTGCCGAATCAAAAAGAGCCCATATGGTTCCATATTACTTACTTTGTAATTTCATCAGGAGCATCAAAATGGCCATCATAATTATAATCAAAAACTGGCCCACTAACCACATTTACTCCATTTCTCTCTATGGCATGTCTGAGAAGAATAACACGATGGAAGTAATGCCACATTTCTGAAAATGAAAGAATGAAGTGTTAAAAGAGTTTTCTTCTACCATATTGAAATATTTCCTGTTATAGACAGGCATATGTCGTTAGCATGACATCCTGCCTCAATAATGTGCAGTACGGCTGGGTAATTGTACAAAGCTTATGTCTAACGACAATAAGTAGCTGCGTTGAGGACCCTTTTGGATGCTGTTGTTGCCGCAATCTGGAAATTATGATTGACTACGGCTCCAAATTCTTTACCAAGGCTGAAGTGCTCTGCGGGCAGCAAGTTTAAAATGGCCAGAATGTACATATTTACCTTATTAATGATGACTCTCAGGACAAACATTAACCTTACATTTAGTTCAGTTGCCAGTAAAATTTAACCTTGTGAATTATTCTCTAAATTAAATTGTTGCTATGTGGAGTCAGTTCTGACACCTACTGACCCCATGTACAATAAAATAATGCTTGATCCTGTGCCATCCTCATAATCATGGCAGCATTTCAGCCCAGTATGGCAGTCATGGTACCAATCCATCTTACTGAGGGGACGGCCTTCCTTTTACTCACCCGATACTTCAGCAAGCATAGTGCTCTCCTCCAAGTCCCGTCTGATGACATGTCCAAAGTCTGTGGATTAAGTCTCACCACGCCTACTTCTGATGTGCACTTTTACAAGCGATGCAGTCTCACTGTCACACATGTGAAGAACATGCTGACTATACTTCTTCCTAGACAGATTTGTCTGTTCCTCTGGTTGTACATGTCATCGTCAATATTCTTTACAAACACCAGAATTCAAAGGCATCACTTATTTGAGCTTATGTAGTCATTGTCCAGCTTCCACGTGGATAATGGTGATGGAAATGGCCATAGCCATGGTCAGGCACATATTAGTCCTCAAGGGCTGTCTTTGTTTGCAGAGGTCATCCACCTTACAGAGGTCTTCAGCAGCAGATTTCCCCGATGCAGTATGAACAGATTACTTATTCTACATTCTCTACTGAATTGGACTAGAGTTTGTGGCAATTCCCTGTTTATGTAGTACTATAATTGTTTTAAATAATATTTAGCATAATTTTACTTGTACGTGATACTAATAATATTGTTAAATAATTTTCACAATCTGTTGGATCATCTTCTTTGAAATAGGAATGCTCATAATTCTCTTCAAGTTGGTTGACCAGGCAGCTGTCTCCCAAATTTCTAGCATTACATCTGTTTGTTGAAATGTCTCAATTCATATTCCCTCCATTCCTGGAACCTTGTTTATTGCCAGTCTCTTCAGTGTAGCTTGGGTATCTTCCTTCAATGCCATCCATTCTTGATCACATGCTACTTTGTGAAATAGTTAAATATTGACTGTGATAGTTACATAATCTGGTGTCAACTTGCAAAGGGGTGGAGTCTAGCCTGTTAATCAGGCCGCAGCTTGATGGCCTCATTTGGAGGCATGACAGAGATAAATAGCTCACTGGAGCCCAGATACACACAGACTCTCTACTTTGTCTTCCTGCTGACAAGACACCTGGAGCTACACTAGAGCCCTGGAGCTGGAGGAACCACTTGGTGACCCCTGCTAGTGTTGACATACTTCCTCTGCCCCTGGATCCACACAATTTTACATCCACTGGCCAGTGATCTTCCTGCATTTGGCATCACTGCATGTGCTGCATGACTCTAAAGAGGAACTTGTGGACTAATATCAGACACACGGGCCAATATCAGACTTATGGACTTGATCTGGACTGGGCTGGGATGTTTTCTCAATATACAATTGCTCTTTTATATAAAACTCTTTCTTATATTCATATGAATATCTCTGGATTTGTTTTTCTAGTCAACCCGGACTAAGACATTGACTGACTCTTTTTTGGCACAGTGATTCTGTGCATGCCTTCCATCTTGTTTTGATGTTTTCGGCATCACGCATTATTTTGCTCATACCTACAGTCATGGTATAGATTCGGACTCATAGCAACCCTTATAGACTGGAACAGGACTACTCTCTAGGGTTTCCAAGACTGTAAAGTTGTACATAAACTGCCTCTCTCGCCCATGGGTAACTGGTGCGTGCCGGCTCCCAACCTTTCAGTTAGCAGTACCATTCATCACCCACAGCAGCGTCAGGGCTGCTGATTGTGCCCATGGCAACTTCAGCACTGCAAGATGAGCCTGGACATTTTTCATTAATTCATACATCTTAAGATAGCCCAGCACTTTTTTCCCTCTTGATTTTTTAAACTCCAGATCTTTATACATTTCATACTAAGACGTCAGTAATCCACCCAAATCTTCTGTTAAGCTCTTTCACTTCTTCCACTCACATGGGCCACACTACATTCAAGAGCGAGCTTCAGAGTCCCTTCTCACATCTGTTCTAGTTTTGTCTTTTATGACTGCCTTTTAGCGATGCCCAGGATGTCATCCCACTGCGTGTCTGGTCCCGGGGGTTAGTGCTCAGTGCATCTGGTCTTGAGATGGTCTCTAAATTCAGGTGGCATACACTCAACGTTTCCTTTAACTCTCATGGACTTGTTTTAATTTTGTTATCTCCAGCTTGAACTTGCACATGAATAGCCGATGGCGTGTTGTTCAGTCAGCCCCTCGGTTTGCTCTGACTGGTGATCTCGAGCTTCTCTTTCCACAGAGGGAGTCCATTTGCTCCTTGTGTATTCGAACCAGTGAGGTGAGCACAGCCACAATTTATGTTGTTGGAAAAGGGTAGTTGCAACGACCTGGTCATTGGTCTTGCTAAGTTATAGCATTTGCTCTTTACCATCCCTTCTATCACCAAGGCTGTATTTTCTAACTACTAGTGTTTCTTTGAGTCTAACTTCCTCATTCTAATCACCACTACTTAACAATACATCTTGATTGAAGGCTTGGTCAATTCCATGCTAAAGAGTTGGTTAAAATCTTCAATTTCTTTAATGTTGGCATCAGTGGTTGGTGAGTAATTTTGAATAAGGTGTATTAAAAGGAAAATACCCTATCATTAGGACAATGTGTTGTCGGCTAGATCTTGGAACATTCTTCTCGATGATGAATGTGACACCATGCTTCTTCCCCGAGGCATTCTGCCCTCATAGACCACAGACTTGCCTGGGGCAAAATGACCAGGGTCAGTCCATTCCAGCGCACGAGTTGATCTTCAAGAATTCCATTTCATTCTTAAAAGCTTTCCGTTTTCCTTGATTTTCATTTCACACATTTTAGATTCTGAATATAAATGGATGTTTGAAGCTATTTCTTCTTATTATGAGTTATTCCACAGCATTAAAGTCAACTCTACTGTGAGGAGGCGGGTGCTTGTCTCTAGTTGTATTTGCAGTGCTCACTCTAAGGGACTTGTGTGCTGGCATTACATAAGACCACGCCCTGCTGCCGCCCATAAGGTCTTCCCTGGACAAGTTTTTCCAGAAGGAGGTCATGTTGAATCTGGAAGTTCTAAAGTCAACTCTACTGTGAGGAGGCGGGTGCTTGTCCCTAGTTGTATTTGCAGTGCTCAGTCTGAGGGACTTGTGTGCTGGCATTACATAAGACCACGCCCTGTGGCAGCCGTCCATAAGATCTTCCCTGGACAAGTCTTTCCAGAAGGAGGTCATGTTGAATCTGGAAGTTCTACTGAAATCTGCCCACCATGGGTGACCCTATTGGTCCTTTAAATACCAGTGGCATAGCTTTTAGCACCACAGCAGCATGCAAGCCACTACTGTACAATAAATATAGACCCACAGTGAGCAGTGAAATCAAAAGATTAAAAATAAGTGACCAGAATTTTGGCAAGTCTGAAAAGTTGAAGCACCTCAAAAACAAACAACCAACAAAATCCCAACTATGTTAGGGATTCTTCCTATACCTATACTTAAAACATTGAAGCAAAATAACTTTTGGGAACAAAACTATTGGGAACAAAGTTCAATGAAAGATGTGTTTGATTTAGAATTTCATGGAATCATTTAGCTATCTTAATGATAATAATCTGAACATATACTTACTTTTGAATTCTTCATACATAGGGACCAAGTTACTTGTAATTAAAGCATCATATTGACTATCAGAGGTTCTATTGTTTTCTGCAAAACAAATTAATTGTATTTATTCCAACCATAAAGAGAAAATGTAGCAGACTGTATAGAGGCCTATTTCTAGTTAAATGTATTAACACTCAAAATGCAGAGGTCATAAGTACCCTTCATAATACCTGTGATTATTGGTTGAATCTCTCTCACACTGCCATCGAGTGGATGATGACTCATAGTGCCCGGATACAGCAGGGTTGAACTGCCCTGTGAGTTTCCATGACTATAACTCTTTATGGGAGTAGAAAGCCCTGGCACCTCCCATGGAGTGGCTAGGGGCTTCATACGGTTAGCCGTTTAGATTACAACCCAATCTGTAACCAACCACTAAGATCAGTTGCCTCGTGACCCAGAAAGATATATCTGTGTCCTAATTCCTGGTATCTGTCAACATGACTTCACTTAAAAACAGGGTTTGGGCAGATGTAATTAAATTAGGGTCTTAAGAGGAGACCAACCTGTACTCAGGGTGGGTGCTAAATTCCAAGTCTGATGGTGATACAAGAGGAGAGGAGAAACATAGAGCAGAAGAAGGTCGTGTGCAAAGGGAGGCAGTGCCTGCAGCCATACAGAGGCAAGTCAAGTCAAGACTGCAGCCCTGAGAGAGACAAGGAAGGAGTCTCCCCTAGAGTCCTCTGAGAAAGCACAGCCCTGCTGACACCTTGACTTTGGACTTGTGGCCTCTAGTACTGTGAAAGAACACATTTCTGTGACTTTCAACAACCATGTCAATGGAAGTTTGTTACAGAAGCCCTGGAAAATGTATACAATACCAGATACAAACACATAGCTATTTAATGTGCACACAATAATGTCTTTCTAAATAATTCTATGCCAAAATAAAATTTCCTGGAAAAAAATGAGGTTTGGGGTTTTTTGTTTTGTTTTAAAACTCAGTACAGATGGCTGGCATTACAAAGGGCTCACTTTGAGAACTGATGAGAAGCAGGCTTCCAGCCCAGTGAGTGTTAACTGTATGTGCTCCGAGTCCAGGCTGCCCTGGCAGGAACCCAGCTCTCTGCTCCCCAGCCGGACCACTTCGGCAAAGGCCTGGTCTTCCATGTTTTGCTAGTTTTGTTGTGAATACTGAGAATTGCAAACCTATGAGAGCTTATTATACTACTTTCTATGTTTAAACTATACTTGAGGAAGTATCTTAACTTCTACTTAAATCGGAGATGCAGGTGAACACCAAGAAACGAGGGAAAATAAGCATTTTCTTTTTCCTTTGTAAGATTTCATATGGCGTTCAGGATATTCAGGCCCCAACAAGCCTTTTCCACTTCTTACACTAAGCCCCGGAATTTGGAAAGCCAGTCAATATACTATTACCTCTGTTTCAGATCAATATACGAATTGGCATTGGTAGAGTTTCTGTTTCTAAGCAGTTAGTTAGAATTTCTAGCTAAAGAGTTAGAAGGGAGTTTCATTTTACCCTTAATATTTTTTTTGAGAGGAAAGTTACTTAGTCATTCATTTCATTTCTCTGTCAAGGTCAAACATTTGAATACCAACCAATGTCTGATGGTCTAACAAATGCAACTGTAAATCTTTATCAACAAACTGTTGCAACTAATCCCAGCGTTCACAAACATTCAGTAGCTCTAAATACATCTAGACACTTAAGTATCCATTTATCTATTTTAATTCTATTAGAAATTTTAACTGAATTCTAACCAACTTTCTTTAAGCCTCTTTTCTTCACTAAAAATCTCTGAATATCTAAATTAGAAGTTTCCCAGTTGACTATATTTGGTCACAGCTTGAAGAAAGATGCAACAAATATCATTTGGGGGGAAAAAATTCCCAGAAGCTGAAATTGTTACAAATCTCTTGGGCAGGTTAATGAAAAGGATACTTCCTGCTAACCAGGGATGATACTAGAATTTCAGGAAAATTACACTAGCTTCAGATGTCCCAGAGAGCAAGACTTTGTAACAGAAACCTTTAGTTGCTTCATGTACTGTTTAAAACTGTTGGAGCCCCAGTGTGAGTGTGAGAGGCCAGAGTCTGGCCTCAGGACTTTTCCCACGCACAGCTGCGTTCTGCATGCAGGCCTCCCAGGCCAGTAGCCAGAGGGACAGGGGGCGGGGGTGGGGTGGGTGGGAGATGTAGTTTTTTTAGATGCCTATGTCCTCCTCCAAGGCCTTCAGTTTTAAAATTAGATTTAAACCTGCCGAACTCTCGGAACATCTGGGTCATATCAGAGCGGATCTGTGGTTACGCTGCACAATTTATTAGACTTTATTATAGCTGCTGTACTGCCAGTCCACAACCACTCGAAGCCGCCTAAACAGCTGGTTTAGCCCAAGCAGGTAGTTTAGGTCGGGAATATATGTTTAAGGCACATGCCCACATCCAGCTGATGAGGGCTTTCTAAGCTACTGCTCTAAAAAAGTTATACCAACCAGGAGGGTAGAGGAAGCCGTGGGTGACCGTCTTGTCTGCTAAGTAGAAGGAACAGTTTTGGCTCTCAGAAGGGACGACCCTGACATCAGCCCGCAGACAGTCTGGGACAGAGGGAGGAAGAGGCAGTGTGTCTCCCTGTTGGAAAGAAAGAAAAGGGGGGAAAAAACGTTATGCCCACATTCGTGGCTCACCCATTGCCTTATATGGGTTGTAATTTCCCTCGAATGTTTTTCATTGACTCTTTTCCTATTTTCTTAGTGAATCAGGTCTACGTCAGCACTGGAAATGGATGTCTTCAGCAGTGTTTTGCTCTGTGGTTCCCTTCTGGTTAGAGGCACTGGCAGGACAAATCAACTACACCTTAGAAAGAAATATTTTCAGAGGAGAGCCTGAATTGAGATCAGGGGCATGACTGGGAGGTTGAGCTGACACCCAAATTCTTCTCCAGATCGAACGCCTATGTGGTGATATTCATGGTATTTGTAAATAAAAATGCACCGTAAAACATGAAGTATAAATCATATAAGACACACATTGAAAAAAATACAGAAATGAACTGTCTTCAACTGAGTCAGGACTTCTAACCAGTTTAAGATTAATTTTGAAAAGGCTCTGGTGGTTTGAGCTTACCAATTGGGGGAATTAAATCAATTTGTAGTTGTGCATCATCATTATACATCAAAAGTTTTATACATTACAATTTTTATCTACTAAAATGTTCACATAAAAACTTTATACAGGAAATAGAGGAAAGAGCTGGGAGGAAAAGGGCATTTATAGAGCTCTAGCTAAAGGCATGTACATATGCAAATATATTATATGAGGATGGGGAAATAGATCCATGAGCCTACATTTATAGGTTTAGTATTAAGGTAGCAGAAGGACATTGGGCCTCCACTCAAGTACTCCCTCAACACAAGAATACTTTCTTC